CAGCAGAAGAACGAGCTCCAAAGCTCAGCAAGGACGGCTAAGAACGCAGCAGGAGCAAGCCTGTCAGGACTCGACTCTCAGAAAAGATGCTCGGCTTCACTGCGCCACAACAACATGGTCACATCGCATGCTCCACAGATTAGTAGAACTGTCCTGGAAAGCAATTCAGCACCGTGGAGCAGAGTCAGTCAGAGAGCAGGACTCAGGGATTTCACTCTGAGATCTTTTACACAACACCAAATGCACAGAAAGGCTACAAGCATGGGTCATCCCGCCCAGATGCGCTAATTGCCTTCATTCCGCCACATTTACGTTGTTATTCCATCTCTGCGCATGAAAATAAGTTTTTTTCTGGCCCGCTTAGAAGAAACTGTGCACAGAGTATTCTTTATCTCTCAACAGACACTTCCTCGGGTGCTTAACCAGAACAAAAGTATCAAAAGAGAAGAGGTTGGCACCAAAGCAATGCTGGTGCCTAATCTACCTCATTCGATTCTTTCACAGCTGTCCTTTAAAACAATTGTTTTCCTGATCCAATATTCAACCCAAGATTTACATGTCAACCAAGATTTATATGTCAAATCTCTTTTTTAAATATTTATTATGTATATAACATTCTGTCTGCATGTATGCCTGCAGGTCAGAAGAGGGCACCAGACCTCATTACAGATGGTTGTGAGCCACCATGTGGTTGCTAGGAATCGAACTTGGGACCTCTGGAAGAGCAGGCAATGACCTTAATCATTGAGCCATCTCTCCAGTCCTACATTTCAAATCTTTTAGCTGCCTTAAATATACTAAGCTTCCTACATCTCAAGATATTATTTTATTTATTGAACAAGGGACTGAGAATAAATATGATAAAACCACAACCGGAAAATAAAAAATATTCGAGATCAATAGACACACAATACCTGAAGATGGATGTATAAACTATGCCCTATGAGTAGCCACTACTCAGAACATTTTCTCTCTGAGATACAGGAACTATTGCGGGTCAAACTATGCATCCAATTTGCCAAATTATAAACTTCTGACAGGAAGAAAAAAACTAATATAATCAATATACAGTGAAAACCATGAGTCAGGCATCAAATTGAAGGTTAGAAAAAAAGTAAAAATATTTCTTTGGGCACTAAAAAATGTCCGGAAGGAGAATAAAATTTACCACACACACACATCAAATTAATATGGGCACAATTCTTACACTATCATTAAGAACAGGAGTTGGAGAGATGGCTCGTTGGCTAAGAACACCGGCTACTCTACCAGAGAAGCCGGGTTTCATTCACAGAGGCAGCTCACAAATGTCTCTATAAACTCCAGTTCCAGGGGCTCTGACACTCTCCTCTGGCCTCCAAGGGCACAAGGTGTATGCACAGTTCACAGGCATACACACAGGTAAAAACACCCATACACATAAAATAATAACAATGGTTTTTTAAAGAAAGTCTAGTTGTTTTTTTTTTAACAGACTAATCCTGATCTATTCAGACCCCACACTTCTTAAGTGAGCAAATACTGATTCTAGGAAATTTTCCTTTAATTTTACAACTCGGTTTAAGAAAATAAAGCCATGAATATTTGAACTTTGTCCTTATACAAAGTGCTCTGGCTGAGCCAACATAGACCATGCTTGGATAAAAATGAAAATTAAGAGCTAGCTCTTGGTCTAATGCAAGAGATTAATTGCACAAGGTGCCCTGTGGCCCTCTGCCTTTAGCGAGCCATTGTGCATAAATCAGTACATCTGAGAGGCCTGTAGAAACAGAGGCAGAAGTTAAAACCATCTCCTCCATAATTAACTCTAAATTAGCTGAGTGAACTTTTGGGATAACTGCGCCATTGTAAATCACCCTGGATAAGTGTTCCATCCTCCAGTTATAAGGGGAACTTTCTAAGCCACCAATTAAGAAAAGCTGGCCTACTGCAGACCCAAAGAGGACATAATAATTGCACACGTAAGTAGGACCTTAACCTACCAACGTTTCAAAGGTCAGGAGTCCATTATTCCAAACCTTGATTAATCAAGAAACCAACTCGGTTATCATCCTCTATCAAGAAGGCAGGTGGGACTGAGGGCATAGCTCAGTCAGCTGGGTGATAGCCTAGCATTTGAAAAGCTGTGGACTCAATCCTTAGCACCACATAAAAGTCCAAGCGGGGATTAAAAGGTGGCTGTTCCTCCACAGGACCCAGACTGACACCCAACACCCACTTGGTGGCTCACATTGTAGCTCCATTCTCAAAGATCAATGCTGCCTCCTTGGGTACCAGGCATAAATGGTACACCAACATGCACGCAGGCAAAGCATGAATACACGTAGAGTTAAAACTGCAAATAAAAATAATTTATTAAAGAGCAGAAGTAGCTGTGCACACCCCTGGAATCCCACCGATTCAGGAGTTGAAGGCCAGAAGTTCAACAGCATTCTCAGCTTTA